TTACTTGGTTTCTTGAAAGGTAATGACATCTTAATAAATACTGGGTACAATGGGACTAAAATCTTTATGATCAGAGGTAATAAACATATGCCACAGCCATATCACCCTGCAGCCCAAGACTGGTTGCCCACTGAAGCTAAGCAGGGTTGAGCCTGGTCAGTACCTGGATGGGAGACCTCCTGGGAAAACTAGGTTGCTGTTGGAAGAGGTGTTAGTGAGGCCAGCAGGGGGTGCTCACCCTGTGGTCTGTGTGGGTCCTAACGCCCCAGGATAGTGACAGGGACACTATACTGTCAAAAAAATAAAAAAGCACCGCAATAAAGCACTATATAAATGCATAATTCATTCATTCATTCATTCATTCATCATGATTTATTACAGATATGCTGAGAAAATACTTGATTGTTTGTCAGTTTTGTTGAATGTGATTCATATGTGGAATATAACTATTCTAACAGCTCAGCTTCCAGGTGTCCATTTTCTGAAAGTGAAATAAAAAGTCTTTATAAAACACTTAGTTAAAGAGGTTCTGAAATGCCAGAGATGATTATATGAACAGACAACTGATAGCCTACACCATTTGCTGAAGTAGCTATTTTGAACAAGTGTGTACTTAAATCCACTCAAAAAATATCTTTCAGATATCAAAAATATTTGCATATGAAAATTTTGCAAACTACATCTGTAGTGTCTGAAGTATGGTGTTAAAGACTTGTATTTATTCTTACATCAGCTTTAATCAAAAGCACATTTTGCCGGTTTACCCAAAGTAGCTAGGCTACATTTATTTTCAGTATATACAAAAGAGAAAATGTCTCACTTTTAAGGAAGGCTTTTAGCACCATTGTACCCTATTTGAACCTAAATATAGCCTACTTTCAGCACACCAGTATGAAGCCACAGAAGTTGATAACATACTCCTTACCTCTATCATGAAAACAGCTGAAGAAGAAAGAGTCCCCCCGGCAGACTGGAAGAGGAATCTTAGTAAGTGCCTTTTCTGTGACACTCAGGGGGGAAGATGAATGTGAGAAGTGACCTATCTGAGCTGCTATTAAAGGTCTGATTCAGAGGTTGGGTGAGAAAACAGCAGCTATTGAGATCAATTCAGTTCTGCCACTCTGGAGCTTTTGAGCGAGAGATTTTACGTCGCTAAAATGGCAAACAGTCACTTACGCTCCGCTTCGGCTCTCAAAAGCTCACAAATTCACATTTGGCACCAAAGCAATAGCTGTAACAATTGGAATTGTTGGAAATTCCACAATCTACGCCACTGGATATAACGTAGCCGTGAGTGAAAGGCTGACAGGCTCTATACTCATCGCATGCTATTTTACATTCAGTCTCAAATGGAGCTCTGCTGAGTCCAAAAGCTGTACTGTGGTAGACATACCAATTTGATTACAGGCGGCCTGCATCAATTATTAATGTAAGCACTTTCTTCAAAGTGCATCTTTAATATCGAGCGCAATACTCCTAGACTCACCTGACCAACATCAGCTCAGACTTGGCTCACTTTCTCAGGCATGTTGCCAGTTGTGCCCCTGATGATGTTGTAATGGGAGGTTTGTTCTTGCATGCAATCGGCAGAATTAGAGAACAGCAGTCACACGGGATCAATATTTAAACATAAATCGTAGCACAGCTTTGATGCCTAAATACTGTTGATTAATCAGAGTTAAGTGCCCTGTTTTCTGGCCGCTGAGGAAATACTGCTGTAAAATGTCTTGTGTGAATATTGCTGTGCTTCAGTTTCTAAGCAGTGATGTGCTCGATTCTCATGTCCAACCCAATATGCAGTGACATTTCCACTTGTTCTAGGTTGTAATTTGTTCTACATTCTTGTATCATGTTCTGTTCTGTTGAATTGAATGCTGCTGCATTACATTGCGTTTCATAACGCTTTGTCCCATTCTGTGCTCGACTTTATTTGATTACGCTCTATTGAATTACTTCTTACTCTGCTGTGTTTCATTCTGCCCTTGTCTTATGAAGTTAAAGAACAGACTGTGGCCTCCAGTGCTATTGACTCACCAACGATCTAGTCACATTATCATGGACATGTTTCAGAGCATATGGCTCTATGTAAGACATTGTAACCTCTCCAAGTAGCTTATTTAATGGGGTCCTGCTTTTCTTGTTCATCCGCTTTGTGGGATATGCGATAAAGTCGAGTAAGAATCAAGTTTAGTGCTGTTTAATTTTTTTGGGCAGTTGCTTATCTGTGCTGGACAGCTGCATCTCTTCGGTCATCAAAGTTTTGAAGGATCCTGAGAATAATAGTCAGCAAAACCAGTCCACTTTCTGTGCTCTGGCAAGAACTATTAGACGTGTTCAATAAACTAAACTAAGATAAAATTAAATAGAATGAAAAGTAGTTAGTTTGAAACATCAAATGTCTGTCTCTCCCCCATAAAAAGGTAATATTGGCCTGTCCCACATCAGAGGTCTTGATCTTCTTGACTACATCTAACAACTAAAATCAGAGAATTATCATAGGTGCACTACTTTAGTTAACATTATCTGAGAAATACTACTAAAGCATTTATTAATCCTATTAATGTTAATTTTAACATTTACTAATAATACATTTGATACATTATTACAAATCAAAAGTTGTATCTGTTACTATTATTTAATGGACCTGAGTTGACTAATGTTAACAAAGACTAAATAATCAAGAATAAATCAATATTATATAAAATATAAATTAATATAAATATATAAACACATACAAATACTGAAGCAAATATATTGCTCAACATATTGCTAATGCATTAACTAATGGAACCATATTGTGAAGTTTTACCCCCAATAAAAAAAAAGAAAAGAAGTATTTTTAATTGCCAGATTGCAATTATAGCTGTCCTTTTGCCTGCATTTCTGTGAAAAGAAAAGGGAAAAATGTAAATTTCTTAATATTTATATACATAAGAACACCTGATATTAATCTAATCTAACCCAATTAGAATATCTTTTTAATTTGATATTTATTTATTTATTATAATTAAAATTTTGGTACTGTTAAAAGTATTTAATTTAGCTGTTTATTTAAT